GTCAACTCCATGACATTAAAATCCTTGGATAAAATCCTAACACTTTTTGATTAGAAATATGTTCATAAATTTTATGTGAAATTATATAATTACGAAATATTAAGTTCATAATTGTTATTTAAAAGGGAGTTCATAGTATAGAAAAATTAATAATAAATAAACACGTATTTAAAATATTAAAAATATAAAACCTAAGAAAAAAGTTAATTTGTTTATTGTATACCTTCGCTGTCGTTAGAATCAAAGCTTAAAAAAAATAATTTATTATCAATATTTCATAAACATTTTGCACTTGAATTGATTTTTAACCTGAAATATTCGTAGTAAATAATAAATTGTATAAAAGAATATTAGTGACTCTATACAAAGAAAGTTTTAAGTGTATCGATCGGCTATTACAACGGTGATAATGTGTCCGGAATAAAAGTAGGGCACATGTCATTCAATAAATTATCATGGTTGATTTCTTATTGGGCTAAAAAAATTTTTTTTTATACAAATAATAATAATAAAATGAGCTTTCATTAATCATTAGATAAATTTTTGTTAATTTATAAGCTTTTAAAAATTCGTCTCAAGTTTAAAATCATAAATACATTAATCACCAAAACGAGATTTTTTTTCAACAAATACAGATTGTGCTACTAGTCTACGACGTAACAAATAGTTCGAGTTTCGACATTCTATCGGAATGGATATTTGAAATTCGTCGAATAAACGAAGAGAACGGAGCGATGCCCATGATGGCCATAATCGGGAATAAATGCGACATGGAACATCAGAGAACGGTTAAGAGGGACAAATCTCATCGATTTGCCGCCGAAAGTGGCTTTCACTACCACGACATGTCAGCCAGAACTGGCGAAGCGGTAAATTAATTTTTCAATAATGCTTTTTGAAGCTTTTCTGAGAGTTGCAATTTAAATTATTTTTAAAGTTTTGCAATTGAAAAATCACACGGGGGATTGGCTGAGTACACGATAAGTGAAGCATCCTAATTATTTTGCAGTAATGTATCACAGTTAGTGAAAAATATTAGATTCATATTTTTTAAACTTTTTACGAGAGTCTGAACAAAAAAACATGATTGTTTTTTCTCTTGTACGTTCATCGGACTCGATGCAGCAAATAAATATAAAGATGTTTGTTTTCAAATTTTCGTAGATGGTGTATATAAACCATTGTTGCAGAAATATTTAAAACAATAAAAATCAAAAACAATTATTTAAAATTAAATTGCTTGAGCAAAAACAAGAATAAAAACTTCAACAAATACCATTACAAATAAATAGGCACAACTTTTTTTCAGATTTATGTTCGTTATTTATTCTTAACATTTCTTTTAAATAAAATCATGGTGAGTGAAAAAAAATTATTTAATAAAATCGATAATTAAAATTTTATTATTTTTAAATCGCATTTCATCACCAGTAAACTTACTAATATGACAAACATCTGATAAAAATTTATTTAAAATACGTTATACAGATTTAAATGTATTAATTTTAGCAAAAAATACAGCATGTATTTTGGTGTTACTGCAATTAAATGATTTACATTTTTAATTCATTCATTATTAAATATTAAATA